CCCCGCCACGCCGGAGGTTGCACTTGCAGGACGTGGAAATGTTGGCAAAACGTCGCTCTTGCGCTCGCTGTTTCGAGCGTCGCGTGAGGTTGGGCGGTCGAACGTGGCGTTGCGCCGTGATTCAATGAATTTCTTCAGCGTTGGTGGTGGTGCGTTCAACGTCGTCGACCTGCCGGGCTTCGGCGGCACATCGGTGCCGTGGTCGACGGTACTGCAGCATGCTGTTCTCCTGCGTAACTACGTGCAGTGTCGTCCGAGTCTGAAGATGTTGTACTACTGTATGGACGTGCACTACAAGCACGGTGTCTATATACAGGACATTGACATGCTGCGCTTCCTTTCGAAGGAGGTGCCGAATTTTACGATTTTACTCACAAAAGGCGACCAGCTTGACACGACAAAGGCGCAGAACGTCTTTCGGCTGGAGGACGTGCGCAGGGAGCTGCTGTTCCACGACATCACGCATCCTGTGCTTGTCACCAGTGCGTACCACATGGGTGGCATTGACGCGCTTCGTTTTGACATGGTGATGAACTGCATGCACGCACTCCCTACAGAACGCCTCACGCTGACGGAGGCAAAGCGGCTGTCGGAGCGGCTGCTGACACAGCGTGAACTCGGCACAGTGCGTCAGTTGTCTCTTCCACCCACACAGCTTCAAGATGATCTGTCGGCGTGGGAGGCGGAGCTGCGACGTGAGCGTGCGGCGGAGAAGGCAACAGGAAGCTCGCACACGGAATTGACGGGGAGCACACCAAAGGAAGGGAATGAAGATAAGGAGTCAAAGCCGATGATTACATCCAGTGGTGAAACCAACAGCAGCCAACACACGAAAGAGCAAGGGGTCACAACGCTGGTGGAGCTGGGTCCTTCAGAATCTTCGAATACCCTGCTTGACGCTGACCGAGGTGCGGCGTTTAACACCCTCCGAAAGAAGGTGACGAACAAGGCGCTGATGCAGTACGTGCAACAGACGAGTCCGTGGCGCAACCCACTNTTGTGGCCTGCGAGTGTTGTGCCGACGAAACACCCCAAGGCAAACATAATGCGTTGCCCCGAGGACCCGCACAACCCTTACCTGACGCAGGCCCACTTTGTGTGCCCACGGGCCGACATGTACTTCCGCCGCCCCAACGTCGGTACGCGTAAAGCATCGAACAAGGGCCGCTACGAAGCGGACCGCCCACTGGCGTTTCTCGTCAAGCAGTATACTGTGCCTTACTTCCCCGATATTGTGGATGTGAACATGAACCCGCTGCCGTGGACATTCCTCGGCAGCCGCGAGGCGTACTACGAACGGAGCGGTGGACGCCAATTGGGTCTGCGCATGACACGCTACGCCACCGAAGGGGAGGTGCGAGCCCTCTCTGAGAACCCTGCGCCCACGCAGCCGGCTCTGACGAAGGAGCTGCGCGAGTTGGAGCGGGCACGATACGGCGCACCCATCGCAATGCTGCGGCCTCCAGAGAAGGTGGCAAAGGTTGACAACACTTCCTCCAATGATGGCGAAAGGGACATGAAAATGATGAGTAAATGAGGTACCATTTTCTTATTATCATTATTATTATTATTGTCCATTTGGGGGGTGGGGGG